TATACTCATTATAATGAAATTTCAATATGAAGCCCTCAAGAGGAGAGGAGGTGAAATGAGACAAAAGGCGCAAGTCTTCAAAAGGCATAAAAGAATGAAAACAAATTATAAGCAAAGAGTTTTTCTTAGCCTTGGGGGAATGTGGCTATGATGTGGATAAATGACTAGCTATGTGTTAGGGTACTACTAGCTATTGTAACAGAAAAGTTTCCATTAATTAGTGTCTCAAAATAAAAATTATTTATTATGGGGCTGAAGAGATGGTTCACTGGTTAAGATCACTCAGTGGCTGCTCCTGCAGAGGACCTGGGTTCAGTTCCCAGCACTTACATAGTGGCCAAAAACTGTTCATAACTCCAGTTCCAGGGGAATCCAGCATCCTCTTCTGACCTCCGCAGGAATTGCATGACACAAGTACATTTACACATGTGCAGGCAGTACACTCACACATATTAAATAAAATATTTTTAAAAATTATTCACCATGAAAAAATATTTATTTTGTATTCATGTAAAGATACCTGCAGGTTTAGAAACATAGCAATATAATTTTTTTCCAATGGGAAGATATGAAGGATCATTATTTCAAATTAAAATCCCCTTTCCAGAAATTCAATCTTCAATACATTTGAAGTCTATCTTTACAGGATAATATGTTATTAAAATACTATTATAAAGAGGGGAAAATTTGATTTAGTATAAGAAAAATTATTACTTGCACTTGTGGTAGAAGTTCTTAGCTGAGTGAGGGAAGTTCTCTTTTAGTGAGTCATTTTAAAGACTCATAGACTGTACCTAGTATACATTTTCCAATAAAATAATGTAAATAATATCTTTGAGAAACAAATAATTCATACGATGATTTATTAATGTATTTGTTTTCTTGCCAGTCATTGAACCATCACTATATTCTATGTTATTGTGCTGGTTAGTTTTTGTGAAAGGCTCAAACTTAGACATATGTGGGAAGAGGGAATCTCAGTGGAGGAATTTCTTCTATCTGAATAACCTGTGGGCACGTCTTTAGGACACATTCTTAATTGCTAATTGATGTGGGAGTTTCCACGTTTGTGGAAGGGCCCATCTCTGGGCAGCAGGGCCTGGGCTATATATGAATGGTAGTTGAGCAAACCCAGGAAAGAAAGCAATAAGCAGTGTTCCTCCATGGTCTCTGCTTCAGTTCCTGCTCTGGCTTCTTTCAATGTTAGACTGTAACCTGGAAGAGTAAACTAAATAAACCCTTTCTTTCCAAAGTTGTTTTTGATCAGTATTTTATCACAGCAACAGAAAGTAATTGTGAACAGTTTCTATATGCTGTGTTTTTATGAGAGGTTTTTTGAGTTATTTTTAAATCATAGTTGTAGTTATAATATTTCAAGTGACAGAAAAAGAACTAGAGAATAATAGTCAATCACTGATCAAGAAAAAAATTAAATGGAATGGGGGAATGAGATGGTAAAGGAGAGAATATGGTATGTGATAATTAATACTAAAGGCCTTTTGAAACAGTTGTATGAAAACCTACTACTATAGAAACTTCTTTAAATATATATATTCTAAACAAGTTTAAATTGTGTTTCCCTATTGTCAGGGAATAATGCCTCAACCAGACATCTCAAGCTAGCAAAGAAGAAGCTCAATTCAAGGAATATACTGCCTTCAGGGGGTTCCCATAGACCCTCAAATAATGTTGACTTTTGCCATTGCTTAGTTACTTGCCAGAACTTTATGGTCAGACCCTATTGCTGACACTGCATACATGTGTTGTAGAAAAAACAAGGAGAAATCAAGCTGGTACTGACCTCAAAACTTCATTTCTGATGGCTAACTTTTATGAATGCTACCAGAAGAGAATAGTAATCATCAGCCTTACCCAGCTGTGAACCCTTCAGGCTACAATAACAACTGGTCTGTCAAGCTATGCCCACTGGGGCTGGAGAGATGGCTCAGTGGTTAAGAGCCCTGGCTGCCCTTGCAGAGGACCTGGGCTTGGTTCCCAGCACCCACATGTTTGCTAACAAGCATCTGTAACTCCAGGTCCAGGGGATCTGACTCCTACCTCTGACCTCTGTGGGCAATGCACAGCATCGGTGTACTTACACACATGCAGGCAGTACACACATACACACAAATAAAAATAATAAATCGAATTTGTCACTGGTAAAACAGTGGCATAAATGTTACAGGAGTAACTAAGTATTTTATGTTTGGATTTAAGGCATGCTTCACAAAATGGAACTTGTACTTGGCACTATTATCAGGGCAAGGCTAGGCTAGGAAAGAACCTACTACTATTATTCTGCTAAACAGACAGAGTTTTAAAATGACTCCTAATAGATTAGTATATATCTCAACTCTTACCAGATAGCCTTCTTCTTGCAGTAAATGGTGATCAACACAGGGAGCAAAAACTGGTCAATATGTAAAGTATAAGAGACTGCAGAATGCTCAGCCCTAAATGGGACAGCTATACTACACCTTCTCCTCTCGAGGATCATTGCAGAAGAGTGGATGAAAAGACTGTAAGAGCCAGAGATCATGGATGGCTACAAAGAGACAGCATACAGGTAGTCATACATATGAACTCACAGCAATTGTGACAAGACCTATGCAAGTTCAAGTCAGACAAATCCCCAGCATGGGGGGTGGTAGATGGGTAAAAAGCCCAAATCCTAACTAAGAAGCTGTTGGCAATTGATAGCTGCTGGGAGGAGAGTCAGTTTTCTTTAATGGTGTGATGCTGGGTAGGGTTAACAGGCTTCAGAAGATGGATCTATACCCCAAAGCACTTGGAGACACATTTTAGACTCAATAGAACTTTGTGAAAATATTAACAGAGAACATGATGTTGGGGGGCATATAGTAATTAGGGAGGATACAGGGAGAGATTCTCAGTATGATCAAAACACAGTGTATGAAATTTTCACAGAATCAATAAAATTTCAAAACAAAGTATTTTGTCATGTCTTGCAGTTACTCATATGCTAATTTGGGGTGAATAATAACTAAAATTATAATCTTTAAATGCATATTTCAGCTTCATTTTCTCCTCCCAATCTCTTATTAAACTCACATAGGTTCTTATAAACAGCTAAGGCTCAGTTGACCTGAGATTTCTGGCTGGACTTGGAACTTTTTCTTCCTTTTGGCTGATGATCTTCATGTTCTTTACATTCCCTTCTCCACATATGATTTTATGAATACTAATTAGAAAAGTGGAACCAAGGCTTGTGAGTAGAGTTTAGTGGCAGAGTACTTGTGTAACATGTCTGAGACCCTAGGTTAAATTCCCAGCATTGAAATAAACAAATAAAAAAACAAGTAAACAAACCAACTGACAGACGATGGATAGAGGGAAATCAAGATAGAGGGAAAACCTATGCCTACATCCCCAGCAAAACGTACCTTCCAATGAACACCTTACATTTTTCTTAAATATCATATGAAAGACTAATAGAGTAAAAGCTATAGAGGAAAAGGGGGATTACATGCAATGAAAATATTGTGAAATATTGACTTACTAATACATTAAAAAAAGAAAATACTGCTCTTGTAAAACACATAAGAGGAAAAGATCAATCTTTAAAAATACAGTATAAGCTGAAGCTGATCTTTTGTTTGCTTCTGCTTAATTGACTTAAAACCAGTACAAATCAGAATAATTAAAAGAGGCTAAGAAGCTAAAGCCCCTTTAGTTGGCTTGCAGCATACACAATATTGTCAGAAAGCAATGTAAACAGCTGAGGAAGCACATCTTCTGTGTTTGAAAGCCACAAGAACGGGAAATGTTGGAAACAATAAATCACTAAGCAGGGTTAAGACAGCCAGAGAAGAGGGACACAGATGGGAGGACATTTGCACTGAGGCATCAGCACTGAGACAGAGACTCAGAGGAAGTTGAGAGATTGGGGGAAAGGAAAGTGAGAGAAGGAAAGGGGAGGGGAGTTGAGAAGGAGGGGGAAGGAAGATGGGGGGAAAGGAAGGAGAGAATGATGCGGAAGGAGCGGAAAAAAGAAGGGAAAGAAAGAGGGAGAGAGTCCGAGGGAGCCGAGAGGGAGGGAGAGAAGGAAAGAGAGGAGGGTGGAGAGAGAGGGAAAGGGGGGGATAGAGATCTTTACAAGTACAATTGAATTTAGGATATCACAAGTATATTTTGTCTATAGCGAGTTAAGGTCATGAAAGAACTGGTTTTGGCTCCATGAAAATTTTAAGGGGTAATTTCTGTTTCCATAGGTTTATGGTAACTAATGGATTTTTTTTTTGTTTTGTTTTTAAGTATTTTAAACAGGGCTTCTGAAGTGCTTTTCATTCAAGTGCTTTATTAGAGATGAGAAAGAATGTAAATCTCTGAGAAGGAAAAGATTGTAAGTCTTAAACCTCTCAGTGTTAGAAATTTCTTTGGAGACTTATGATACCTTCCCCTCCCTTCCTCTTCCTCCCCCCGCCTTCTCCTCCTCTTTCTCTTCTTTTAGCAACGTTTGTTTTTTCTCCAGTGAGGGAGATTGAACACAAGCCCTCATGCATAGTAGGCAAGAACTTCACCTCTGACCTATATCCTCAACTTATGCTTCATTTTTAAAATTCATATTAATCATTAAGGAGATTATCATTGTCTTTAAGTTAATGTGCAAGCCTGACAAGTTATAGCTTCAATCATTCTTTGAGAGAAGAACACTGAAAACAAAGAGGATGTGGATTTCATCCTCTGTGTATTAATATTTACTTAGGTAAGCACACTTACTGCAATTTCTAATACTTTCTTCAATAAAATGGAACAATAATCTCCTCTTATGATTTATATGATGTGCAAATGGTTGGAAAGAGGGGTAAATGAGATGAGTATCATTAAAGGCCAAACTGAGGGTCGTGCTGCTATTACCATGTGTTTTATCTTATAGCTATATAGGTTTTGTAAATTATAAAAAATGAAGTGGTC